TTTGATTGTAACCACCATGTCATGCAATGTGTTTTGCGAGCCAAAAATGGTGATTCCCCAAGCAAGGCTGGATGTTACTGACCAGCAGCACGTCTCGACCATACCATACTATCATTTGTTGCCAAGACGGCTTCACAAGGATCTGATAGCATCATGTCGGTCCCCAACGACTCAACTATGCTTTGCCATGGTTGCCCAAAGACCCCACCTTGCATGCTTGTTCTGAAGGCCTGCAACGTCAAGGAATGCATGATTGTGTTACTACGTTGCATCGAGTCACCATTTGAACAATACCGATGATTTTTGCCATTGTAGAATCCCTGTTCCATGATTGTTGAAGTCTGATAGGCTTTCCTTGATGTGGGCCTGTCTTTGTTTGAGGGTTCCCTTTTTCGGGTTCTTTCACGAGGAAACCGAAGGAAGACCCATGGAAGACCCAGCATGTTGAGGGTTCCCTCAGTTGGAGAAGAAACAAGTGGCACTGATCGGACATTGTGGATCCTAAGGCAGTGCTTGCTGCAGTGCGAGAAGCGGTACGGTCGTATCCAATGCCGCGGGCACAGTGGGGGGTTAGGCTTACCAGTGGCCGGTAAAAGACGTTGGGGTTTCTCAAATAGTGGTCCCAAGCACGATTGCTTCTATGTGTTTCGCTTTAAACGCCAACCAAGAAAGGGTTCACCATTTTGAGAAGCTCACATTTTTGCTTATCAAAAAGCAAAGTTCGGGTACTGAACAGTATCTTCTTTTGTTCCTTCAAGTGGCGAAGCAGCTCGATAGAGCGTGCACGCCCAGGGGCAGTGATCAGTTCCAGACCCCAATAACTGTGTGTTTTTGGTGGCTTTACGCGGAAAGTCAGAAGCAAACCAACGATGTGGTAGTCCATTTCAACAATCGTCAATATGTCCGACTATCTATTGTAGGTAATGGGCTGACATGGGCCATTCGCCGAGACTAGAAGGAGAGTACGCTTGAAGTCATCCATGCTTTTGTGCTTTATTGACCACAAGGGAGCCTCCTTAGTGGCTCTTTCCCTTCAGATTTCATCCAAGAGGAAGCTTTGCGAAGAGGAAGGCTCTAAGGGCAAATGCCGACCCCTAATTACGAGGCGTTTTGTGACCTCCCAATCAATTGTTGCAGCCGCGGACCATTTGTGCGAAACAATCTTACAAAAAAAACAAGGGCAAAACGTCGCCTGTCAAAGGCCCTTCTTGCGAGTGCCTGGGGGTGGGTGTGCTTGTTTCGCTTGCTGTTGTTTATTTTCCTCCTTCTTTTTTTGGGGGTCTGGCTGCTTTGCTCTAGCCTTGTGGGGGGGTTTTGGCTGCTTGGCTCTAGCCTGCATGAGCAGCGCTCACGGTCTCGTCGGTGTACATTTAGTAGGGGCATGTGCATGTGCATTTATATTATATATATATATATGTATTTGTTTATGATATGAGAGTTGCTCTAAAGGTCCATGCAAGGAGTTGGGTAGTTGGTGACCATTTTTGCGTATGTGTAGGTGACCGTGATACGCATTGATACATGGCATCTGCAATCACATATGCAATCATGTACATATGTCCGTGTGCATGTCTATGGCCTCATATGGCCTCTACGCGTATTGATTGTATATATATATATATATATATCATTCCCATAGGCATGCGGCATACAGGATTCCCGATTTGCAACTTGTCAATAGGAAGAAAGACGGCCGAGCATGTCGTGGCATGTGTTGTTGGCACGGCTGTATGCAAGCAAACATTGTGTAGTACTGTCGGGGGATCGGCTATCCGAGGTGTGATTCAAAAAGGCTCCCGCAAGATTGGCAACAACACGGACAGCGACAAGGCGCGGTCTCGTTTCTTCCAGCGGAGAAGGCATGCTGCTTCGTTCGGGGGCAGTGAACATTGTGTGGGGTTCTCAAAACCCGGTTCAAGACGCAGATGTGTTTCGAGGTGCGCAGTGTGGGATTGGCCTGCAATTTTCCTGACATCTTTTCCATGTCATGCTGCTCAAGTGAGCAAAAGACAATATTGCCAGGGTCCCATATCAGTTTTCCGGGGTGACGGTGTCACTTTTACCTGGGCCCATATCGGTTCCTGGGCGCAATATTGGCGGAAGGGTGTTGTGCTTAGCGGACAAGGGGCTACATACAACGTGTTCCTGAGAGGACACATACTTTGGGCTAAAGCGTTAACCGTAGGTGGTCGCTTGTCTTGACTCTTAATAAGTATCCACTTGGGCCACCATTTTGGCTCAAGTGGACCTTTTGATCTTTGGTCTTGTGATTTGAAATCTTTCTTTCCCCTACTCTCAAAGCCATGTACGCCCCCGCCTACGCTGGTGCCGCGGTAGCAGAGGCCAAGGCTAAGGCAAAGGCCTCCATGGCAAAGTACCTGGCGAGCCTCGTGAAGAGGGAGGAAGAAGGATGGACCGTTTTGGCTGCTGAGGTCCCTCAGGCACCTGACGAGCGTTTCTTCTCCAGCGCAGATGAGCTGGAGCAGGCCCCCCTTATCCCGGCCAAGCGCAAGGCAGAGGATGAGCCGATGGAAGATGCAGCCCCTGGGGTGGCGCAGGTGCCGAAGGCCCTGACACGCCCCCCAGGGGCGTTCCTGGAGCTCCTGAACCCGCCGGAGGAGGACGTGCCCATGGAGGAGCTCCTGGCGAAGGACGAGAAGGAGCTGCCGATGCCCAGGTCCCCCTCGGCTGCAGCCCGCTTGGAGGAGGCCCGCCTGGATGCCCGGGCAGACGCCAAGTGGCAGAGGCGCCGGGAGCTGATGGCGAAGGTCAAGGAGCAGGCGTCCTCGGAGGAGGATGAGAACCCCGCAGCCCCCCCGCCGGGGGGGAGCGTGTTCACCAAGGCCCTCAAGGTCTCGGAGGGCCTCTACCAGTTCAGCGACGACCAGATGGCGGGCAACTTCCCTTGCTTCGATGCGACCACGGCCAATAGGCTCCGCCGACTGCAGGCCAGGGACGTCCAGCGGCTCCTGCGAGGCTTTGAGGGCCCCCAACTCAAGCAGGGGGGCCTGGAGCGCGTTGTGGAGGCCTTCTACATCGCCAAGATGAAGTACGAGCATGAGGCCCGGCTCAGCACCCCGGGACAGCAGGTGGGCAAGCGCGCTGGCTTGGGGTACGGGGGCCTGGAGAACCGCCCCCTGGGCAAGGTGCCCACATCCTGGATCTGCCCCTGCTGCACCATGCCCTGGGTGAAGAAGGGCGCCACGAAGTGCATGGGGTGCGGCAAGAAGACGGAGCCCATTGACATGGCGACCAACTCGGCCACCCTGGAGATTGCAGGCACGCATTGGCAGTTGACGGTGGATGACCAGGGCAATGCGGTCTGGACGGCGGCCCGGTCCGCAGGTGCCGAAGGCCCTGACACGGACCGGGCCCGCGACCTCAAGCTCAGTGCCTCGGTGGACGTCAGCGAGCTGGCCACCGACCCGATGGCCTGCGAGAACCCGGACCAGGCCAGCTTCTCGGACTTCGTCCCCTCCTCGGTCCGGGCGGTGATCAGGAACTGCCCCATGGAGCTGGACGAGGAGTTTCTGACGGCCCCACCGGGGGAGAGGCCCCCATTGCCAGGCGACAAGGAAGAGGGCCAGGAATGCAGAGCCTTCCACCCGTCTGCGGTGAAGGCCTTCAAGATTCAGACCCGGCTCAACGCCACCACCATCGCCCAGGAGGAGGCCAAGAAGGCGGACCAGGTGGAAGCGGTGGACGCTCCGCGGCAGTCCTCCACGAACTTCAAGGGGGGGCCATTGACGGAGGAGGTGATGGAGGTCTGCTCCTGAAGAACCTGGACTTGGACCTCTTCCGTGAGAAGCTGCTGGACAAGCTGGGTGCGGACTGGGGGAGACCCACACCGGAGCTCCTCCAGGCCCAGACCACTGCGGAGGAGGCGAAAGCGAAACACCAAGCCAGACAGGCGAAGGGCTCCCTCGAAACCAGGATGCTAGCGCCCATCGCGCCTCCCTTCAGTGCGTGGCCTAGTGAGGTCCGGGTCGCCATTGAGACTGGGGTCTTCGAGCCGACAACGGCATGGAGGGACTTCAGTATGGACGACCTCACATCGCTCACGGACTCCTACCTTGAGGCCAAGGCGGTCATCTCGCTGGGTAGGAATCCCTTCCCGGCGGCCCTCCTGTCAGATCTGCCGGACCTGGCAGGGATCCCTATGCCAAAGGCGGGGGGCTCTGGTGCGGCGCGCCCAGGTGCCGAGGGCCCTGACAGGCCGCCCACCATCTCCTCAGCCTCGGGCTCTGGCGCGACGAGCTCAGGTGCCGAGGGCCCTGACAAGCCGTCCGCCACCCCGGTGGGCCTGGACACCAAGGACCCGGAGGTGCAGCTCGCGGTCCTGCGCTGGATGATGAGCAAACGGGTCGGAGAGGTCCGTATCTTTGCGGGCCGCTGGGTCCGACGACCGGGCCCGGTACACGTCCCGGATTGGGCGAAAAACCTCACCAAGGTGAATCCGGAGGCGTTGGAGAAGGGTACGCATCCCAGGAACCACCAGGTGGGTGGACTCCCCTGGGCCAGGTACTCCGTGGATGAGTTGAACCAGCAGGCGAAGGCGGGGGACCGACCCTACCCTGGGGACCTGCGATCCATCTTTTGGGCTGCCCCCCACGATCCGGATGAGGACTTCCACTGGACGCGCCAGATCTCGTCCTGGACACTCCCAGGCCTACTGGGGATGTTCGGGCACAGCTACACCCTGCGCCAGCTCTGGGGAGTCTGGGAGTCTCTGCCACTGCTGCAGGGCCCTAGGCAGCGGGGCCCGAAAAACAAGGCCCAGAATCAGACCCGCCTGGAGGGCTGGGAGACCCTGAAGGAGGACGCGCGGTGCTTCCTGAAGGAGGAGGGCCTTCCGTTTCCGCAGACAGGACCGGAGTGGCGATTGGTCTACCGGGCCATGGGCAAGGTCCTCGCGGCCCGGGCCTTCCTCACGGACACCCCGGCGGAGGTGATGCAGCTCCCGGTCCAGGACGTGGCGGACTCCAAGGAGCAGATGATCCTGCGGGCGGTATGCGACGAGCGCATCTCGGTCCCGGTGGAGAGCCTCCAGCAGTTCCCAGAGGTGTACAAGGCCCTCATGGACCGCATTGGAGGCCCGGGGGCCCTGGCGGAGGTGAAGGTCAACTGGCGCTGCAACACGAAGCAGTGGTGGGTCGGCGCAGTCCCCGACTCAGTGGCCCCCTCCATCTACCGCAAGCTCGGCTACACCAACGACATGATCAAGCTGATGGGCCTGGACCCCTCCGCCCCTGGGTGCCGGACAGGTGCCGATGGCCCTGACATCCGCCCCAGGGGAGGCGAGGGCGATGAGGGGATCGTTTACCCCCCCATCACGGCGGACAACGTCCACGGCGTGGTGGGTAAGGACTACCGGAAGAAGAACTATCCGGTGGAGACGAAGCATGTCTTCTGGGCGCACATGGAGTGTGGCCTGGTCCTGAGCTCCGTCACCCCGTGGGAACTCATCCCGAAGACAAAAGGGGAGACCCGGGGGGGCTACATGTGCAAGTATTGTAAGGGGTACTGGCGTGCCGGGGGAGGGGGCACCCGCCTCCTCCAGATCCGGGCCGGCAAGGCCATCTTGCAGCTGGTGTTGGACGAGCCGCCGGAGGGCCTCTACAACCGCTGGGTGAAGGAGCGGCTGGAGTACTACCGCCGGGTGGAGCCCTCGGCCCCGTTGCGGGACGTCTCCATCGTGGACCAGAAGGTGCCTAGATTCAGATTCAGCCAGGCCACCCAGACAGGCCACGTCTCCAATGCCATCTGGGAGCTGATTCTGCGGAATCCGGAGGCTGCTGCGCTCAAGCGCATAGATGACATCGCGAAGAGGGCCGCGTGATGATGCGGGACAACGCCATCTTCCGGCACATCATCCAGAACCGCGGCCATCCGGAACGGATGCGCCGCGCACCCTGGGGGTGGGACAGCTGCCGAAGGCGCTGATATCCCCCCCCAGGGAACAGCGCAGGCCCAGACCTGCACCAGGCGAGGAAAATTGGCGCGGCTTGGGCTAATCCGGGGTGCGCCTGGTTCCCCTCTCTTGTTTGGTTTTCCCTTTTCGGGGCGGCTCCCTGGGTCCCCCTTTTTCCCCCGTTCCCTCCGTTTCGGGGTTGGCTTTCCGGGGTTTTGGGGGGCCCCCCCCCCCCCCTGTTGTTTGGTTGGGGTTGGCACCTAGGGACTAAGCCCCCGGCTCGAGTGGATCATGATGATGTGGAGGCCCCGCCTCCCTTCCCCGTTTGGGACGACCTTCCTAGGGGCGCCAACCGCGCTCCAGTTGATTTTGCATGACCTGGGATTTGCACCAGTGCAGTCGGACGGGGAAATCCTCGTGGCGTGCTGCCTGGAATGGGTCAAGAAGGACAAGGTCGCCAACCCGGATGCGGTGGTCTTTGACCCGCGGCCGTGGACACGGATCGTGGGGCTGGCACCTGACGGCAACCACGTCCTGGTGGCCTCGGACACCTACAACTTGATCCTCGCGAGGATACTCGGCTCCCAACCACAACCGCTGGAGGAGGCGGATTTGGAGCTCGCTACTAAGACCCTGCAACAACTTCTGTTTCGTGCGGCAGGCGCCAGGCAATCGCACACCTATTCTCCACTGGAAATGGAACAGGCCATCCGGGACCGCGAAGAGTGGATCCTTTCCGGATCGATTGAGGCCCCGGATGTCCTGGCAGTGGCCAACAAGTGGCGGCATTGGAAACCAGGGAAGATCAAAACCCAATTGCCGACATCTCAGAGAGCGTTGGAACAACACTTGAGGGCCAGGTGGTTGGAACGCCTCCTGGGATACTTCATCCCCTTCCGGCACCAGATCCCCTACATGC